CTGGGGTCGGGCTCGGGGTCGGGGTCCGGGCGGGGGCTGGGGCAAGAGCAGGGTCGGGCTCCCGGCGCAGGCGAGTGCGGGGTCTGGGAGGCGCGTCCCCTCGCCCTGTCCCCCTTTCCGGAGTCCTGGCCACCACTCTGGGAACGGCGCTGGGGGCGAGGCGCTGGGGGCGAGCCCCTCGCCCCCCAGCTCTCCCCCTCCCTGCACAAGGCCCGGCGGCCGAGAAGACCCAGGAGCCGTCCCCGTAGGAACCTGCCGGGCGATGGGGACCCTCCTCACCTCCAGCCAGTTCAACACCATGTCTCGCTCTCCAAAATCGTTTTTAATTTTTTAAACAATATTTGGCTTAGGAGGACTCCATCAAGTTAGGCAAATCTGGAGTCTAAATTTGGACTCCGCGTATTGGGGACATGAAGTCCCGGGGTCAAGGAGCACCCCTGGCGGACACGGTACGGGTCAGATCGTTGCTTGCCGAGCGGCCTTGGAGAAATTTAACTCTGGCAATTTGTGATGAGGTCCCAGGACCTGGGGTCTCCTTTGCCCCCAAATCCACTTTCCCCTGCATTTGGGAAAATGTTCGGGTGTGTCTGGCGCCGGATGAGTGCTAATAACCGAAAGCTCCCACCCTCCCGCGCTGAGCGCGCAGTGTGCGCTGGAGACCCTCGGGTACCCGCGCTACAACCCCAGGAAGTAATTCCTTATTATCCCGGCCAGCCCGGGCCCTTGGTTACTCGCTGTGGAAGGTTCTAGATCTCCCATTTCAGCCCCACGGGCCAGCAGGGGGCCCCGGCCTGGCAGTCGCGGCGCCTTTAAGGACCGGACCCACGCGGTCAGGTGACCAGGCCGTCGCTTAGCAACAGGACGCGGCGCCGACCCTGGCGGCCCTGGCTGCGGAGAAGCTGTTTCCTGCCTTCTCCTTATTCCCCGACGCAGCAGCGCGGTGGACAGAGGCGAAATGTCCGAGGAGAACCCCCAAGAGTGCGCGGAGCCTGTGGAGGCCAAGGCCAAGGTCCTTCCCGAGAAAACCAGCGACTACTACCGCGTACACGAGGACCTGCCGGTCAGGTTCAACAACCCCGCGTGGTTTCGGGGCTACAGGTCAGGACGCTGGAGCCCCGTCAGGGTCCACCTGGCCTACACAGAGGAAGGAGTGGCCGCCTGGTCCAGCGGGCAAGCCGGGTGCCCAGCTGGTCCTGCATGCGAGAGTCCCCCAGGTCCCAGCTTGTCCTGGCACCCACGTTCAAAGGGGGTCAGCTACTGGCCGCCAAGTGAGCTGCCAAAGTGGTGCCGAAATCTTTAGAGACAGGAGTGAGTGGGCCTCCTGTCCGCGCAGGTGGGGCGGTGGGTGATCCACGCCCCCCTCCCAGAGAAGTCGCAAAACCCAGTTCTGGTCCCAGCTCCACTGTTTTGTGGCAGGGTAGGTCTCCTCCCCTCTCTAGCTGAGAGGACCCTGTGCAGAATGTGACTTGGCAGCACCTCTGTCATCAATGCTGCTGGGTGAGTGAGCTGTGGCGGTTACAGTGCCCTGTGAACCCTAGGACGCAACAGTAAACCCTCAGTCACAGCCGCGCAGGTGCCAGCGCCTTCCCGGCCCTCCCTCCTTTAGTCTCCTCTACGGTTCTGTGGAGTGGGATCTGCTCTGATCCTCATTTCCAGGACAGACAACTGGGATGTAGAAAGATATTACCTTGCCTGAGGTCTCATAGTAGGAGGCAGAGCTGGGATGTCTGAACCCACAGCCCACTCAGTTAAACTGTTCTGCTAATAGTGTCAGTATCAGGATGCAGGTAGGTTTTCTCCTGGAAGCTCAGAAGTGCAGGGACCTCCCTGCGTGGCAGGGTCTGGAGGCTGAGCCACAGCTCCCGACCTACCCAGGAAATGACAGCACGTGCCAAGGCCCTGCCGCGGCTGAGGGCCGGCACTTACCACCTGGGAGTTCTTCGGGGCTTTGGCCTGCCGTGGGGAAGAGCAAGGGCAGAGGTGAGCACAGGGGTCAGGGAGGCTGAGCCTGCCAGGAAGGCCAACCCTGCCCACCACGGGAGCCCACGTGCATGGCTGCATCACCAACCCGGGGCATTTCCAACAAAGCTCCATCAACCAGATACTTTAAGGCTGTGGCTTGTGCAGAATTAGAATAAATGAATGGAAAATAGAGTGTGTTTCTCCTCTACCAGGACCAAGGAGCCTGCCTCAGTGTACAGGACCAGTAACCAAGCTTACGGGGGCAGAGCCCCCACGGTGCATGAGATGCCGGTAAGCGGGAAGCAGGGAGGGCGGGCATGTGTATGTGTATGTGTGTGTGGGGGTCTCTCGGAGGAGGTGAAAACCCCGGAGTTCTCAGAGGGGCAACACGTACATCGTGAGTGGGGATGGCGAGGGGCCCAAAGTTCCAACATCACAAAGGGGGAGGGGGCCCTCAAGTCCTTTTGGAACAAGGCAGAATAGAAATAAACGAATGAATGAATTTAGCCATGAAATGTTGAAAGAAGGCAAGAAGTTCAGGTAGACTTGCTGATGCCGTCCCAAAGGGCTGGCCCGGTTCACACACACACACACACACACACACACACACACACACACTCGCACACACACACACACCTCTTGCAGCTTAAGGCAGTACGTTTCGAGGCAAATAAATGAAGAACTGTTTTCTTTCTGGAATAATACTTTAAGAGAGGTTAACTTGTGATCTGAAGGGTAGGACTGGCCGAAAGCACAGGTTGCACGTCGGTGGATGCAGGGATCTATGAGCCTCTGGGGAACCCCGACCCCTTTTTGAGATGGACTTCACACTCCAGGGGCCCCTCTCAGAACCCCCAGACACCCATGCTGGGTCCAGGTGAAGGGCCACATGGACCAGTGTAAGCATTCCCCGGATACCCAGGACAGAAGGGCCACCCACTTTGGGGTGACAGTGTTGTTTATTCTTCCAAAATATTCCTCATTTTAGAAGATCTGGGGGCCGGCCCGGTGGCGCAAGCGGTTAAGTGCGTGCGCTCCGCGGCGGCAGCCTGGGGTTTGCAGGTTCGGATCCCGGGCTTGCACCGACGCACTGCTTGTCAAGCCATGCTGTGGTGGCGTCCCATATAAAGTGGGCACGGATGTTAGCCCAGGGCCAGTCTTCCTCAGCAAAAAGAGGAGGATTGGCATCAGATGTTAGCTCAGTCCTGACCTTCCTTACACACACACACACACACAAAAGATCTGGATAATTGCTTACTTGTTTTGTGGGGGATAGAGCCCTTATGAGAAGACTATCTAGAAAGTTTCTAGAGCTTGTGGGGGTCACTCTCCCAGAATTGAATGATTCCAGATTTTCCCCGGGGATCAAACATTTCCACGATAAAGACCAACACACTCACTCACTAACAGAGGTCCAAATGTTTGCTTTTATAGAAAAGACCATTGAGCAAAGGTTCACCTATAAATAGCGGGGTCTGCCGTGTGCTGGCCTGACCAGGCAGGCGCTCCCGAGGAAGGTCGGGAGGAGGTGCTGCTGCTGCTTCTCCCCCTGCTGCGTCTGGGCCCGTCTGTCAGTGTCCTGACCTGACTGTGGACGCTGGACTCAATGGGCAGCTTTCAGTGTTTACTTCCCATGCGGGAACAGAAAATAAACATGCTTGGTTTGCATGTAAAGAAATATACTGAAGCCTGCTATTCTCTTTGATGCTGCAGTGGTGGATATATGTCATTATACACTTGTCAAAACCCCTGGAGTATACGACCCAAAAAGTGAACCCTACCGTACACTCTGGGCTTTAGCTAATAATAACGTACCGCTATTGGCTCAGCTGTAACAAATGTACCAACGAATGCAAGCTGTTCCAACAAGGGAAGCTGTGTGTGTGGTGGTGGGGGGCAATGTGCTGCTTAGTGTCTCTGGAGGCCTAAAACTGCTCTAAAAAATAGTCTATTAAAGAAAATGCACGGATGCCATTTCTCTGCACTTGCTTCCTGCCAAGGAGACACAACATCAAGTGACCTGCTTGACACAAGGATGGCCTAAGACAGGTCACCTGTCCAGGGTAAGATATCTGGCAGAGGCCCAGGCCACTGAGGTCAGAAATCTCAAGGTCACCTGTGGTGCTGGCATAATTCCTACCTCTGGGTGCCTGCACACATGAGGAGCCTCATCAGTGTGCCTCACCACACCCCGACTTCGCCAGGGCAGCCCCTCCCCAGGGCAGCCCCTCCCCAGACCCCTTGGCTGGTGGGGCGTGGGCATCAGAATTTTTTAAAAGCCCTACAGGGGATTCTAATACACAGTCAAGGTTGAAGCCCACTGATAGTGAGGTTCTCTCCTTTCCACAGAGGAGGAAACTGAAGTTCAGAGAGGTCCAATAACTGGCCCTCGTAGCACAGTTGGTAAAAGCAGAACTGGGGTTGCTTTGGGCCTGACCCCAAGTTAATGTTCATAACCACACCCAGGTGATTGATCCTTCTATCCGTGTATAGTGAAAGGAGGCATGATTAATAATTATTCCCGGACATCAGGCATAAATTGGGAGGGTCTGGGGCAAACAGCCATTCTGCCCACCCTGGCTTCTCTGCTTCCCAGGAATGGAGATGACATTTTCTACAAATTCTTATTTTTCTTCCCCAAATACCTAACGACTGCGCAAGAGTATTAAAATGCATCATTAGGGGCCGGCCCAGTGGCATAGCGGTTAAGTTTGTGTGCTCCGCTTTGGCAGCCTGGGGTTCACCGGTTTGGATCCCGGGCACAGACCTACTCACCGCTCATCAAGCTATGCTGAGGCGGCGTCCCATATAGAAGAGCTACAACTCTACAACTAGGATACACAACTATGTACTGGGGCTTTGGGGAGAAAAAAAGAAAAAAAAAAAAAGAAGATTGGCAACAGATGTTAGCGCAGGGCCAATCTTCCTTAAAAAAAAAAAAATAAATAAATAAAATGCATCATTAATCAGTGTTCCCTTTTCACTTCCAGAAAGTATTTTATCCAAATTCGAATAAGTTTTCCAGACAACTTGCAGCTGGTGGAATGTTCCGGAACAATACTTTCAATGTCTTCATGGAGAAGAGCATCGTGACAGGTCCTGACAACTACATCACCTCCTACGACCGGCTCAACTTCCACCCCAGTTACAATGTCAACAAGCCGTCCATCTGTGATTGAGGGCGGCTGGACAACCCCTCCAAGGGTGTCCTGACTCCAGCTTGAGACCTGGAGGATCGTCATCCCTGCTCTGATAATTTGCCCAACTGTGAAGGTACAGACTTCAGTGCTTTCTCTGAAACTATTTTCCTCTCTAGCTCAGAAAAGTATGCAAACAGGGCTGTAACGTCCTACTCTCTCTATTTTACATCTGCGATGGAAAGGATGCTATTTAACGGCTTGAGTTTCCATTAAACAAATTGACACGTCCCGAGTTCCCGACGCATCTGTAATCAGGGAACAAGCAGCGCTGTGGGCGTCCCGGGACCCAAATCTTGGCCTGGATGCCGGGAACGCCCCGATAACGCCACCTGTCTTTATTTGGGAGCCATTTTTATACTCATGACAAATTATGGATCAGGTTTCCTGTTTTTCTAAAGCACCCTGGCTGAAATCTGCACAAACACAGCAAGGCCATGGCGCGAGGGGAGGATGGCAAGGCTGGGGTGTGGGCGAGGGCGGGGCCGGGAAGGCCGAGAGCAGACCCCGTCAGGAAAGCTCCAGGCAGGGAGGCCATTACTGTCCCCGATCCGTGAGGCCACACGTGGGGTCACAGGGAACGTCCTCCGGCCAGGGACAAGGGCCGGGGGCAGCAGGCAGAGCACACGAACAAGGCTGGCAAGTGCTGCTTGTGGTGGAAGGGGAGGTGTACATGGAGGTCTCTACTTTGTGTTCACTTTAAATTGTTAATAAAAAGTTAATAAAAAAAAGCAGGCAAGGAGTAACATTTTTCTCAGGTGGAGGTAATAACTACATTAAGTGGATCTTTTCCTCTATGTAGTTAGCCCTCAATCAATGTTTACTGTGGTTTAGAGGGTCCTCAATAAGAAAAAAAATTTTCTATGACAGTATATATCTTTCAGATGTAGATCCCCCACCTTCCTTTATGAGAACAAGACATGCTCATTACAGGACATTTGGAAAATACTGAAACCAGACAGAAGAAATCATTGTCACAGACCATTAATAATACTTTCTTTACAGAGGTTTTTACCCAGAGATTTTACTCACATACACATTGGGCAGAAATTAAACACCATGACTGGTTATTTCTTCACTAAAAACGTTTTATTATTAATATGCAAAAGTAAACATTTTGGCTACATTTTTAATGTCCAATTTGGAATGGAAATGGTTTCCAGAGAAAATCAATACACTTAATAGAAAGATACAAAGCTGATCCTGAAGCGAGCATCTATGTCACGTCCTTCTCCTTAGCTGGAAAACCAGCGGAGACCCCAGGCATCAAACTTAAAATTAGTTTTTACAACCCTTCATTAAAAATACCAAGATACCAAGAACACTTCTGTTTAGCCTCTGTTGAAATGAAAAAAGAAAAAGAGTGCCTTATCAACCAAACTCACCAAAAAGAAGGAATTCCTTCCTCGCAGCAGACAGTGAAGCGGGTTCACGGCCGTGGAGGATCACGCCGTCCAGGCAGGATAACTGCTTTTCCTCCCAACTCAGAGCTGGTGAGCACCGCCCTGTGCAAAGAGACAGCGTCCCCAGAGCCAAAGGCACGGGAGAGGCCCCTGAACCCGCACAAGACCCCCGTTCTCAGCTGTGGGCGCCATCAGGGCTCAGGCTGAGAGCATCAGTCGAGCTGACATGGACCAACAGGACAGATGCCAAGCTCGCTGGGCTTTGAGAAGTTAATTCTGGCGTCATAATCAGGCACTGAGTGCTTTAATGAATGGGTCACAGCCAATAAACTGCTGTTTCCGTAACAGTTGCTAATGAGTTAATGTAAAGTTAGACTCTGCATTTATTCTAAATAAAGTAAGTGTCTGGAAAGGTGGAAAACAGAAATACCTTTGGTATAATATACATGCCCATCTTCCCCAAAACTCGGTAACTATCTCCAGCGCAAGCTCCCAATACCTGTGTCGTCCTGGCGCCGGGGCCCCCCGGGCCTCTGGGTGGCTGCACTGCTCCCCGTTGCCTGCTGTCTTACGGTGTTCAAACGGCTTTGATGTCGTCACCTCATCCAATACTCACACCTGGGGCAAGTCTGACTCCTGGACCTCCATTTTCGAGCCCACACCTGGGCTCGAACCTGCTTTCGGGATGTCCTGGGAGGGGCGGGGTCATCAGCATCTGACCCCACAGATCTGGCCCTAATTTTCTACATATTTGCACTAGTCATGCAGGAGCTCCAGCGATGGTAAACTTTGTGAACTTGATCTTTTTTTGGTGAGGAAGATTTTCCTTGAGCTAACATCTGTGCCCATCTTCCTCTATTTTTTGTATGTGGGATGCCACTGCAGCATGGCTTGATGAGCAGTGTGTAGGTCCGAGCCTGGGATCCGAACCTGCAAACCCCGGGCCACAGAGGTGGAGCGTGCGAACCCAACCACTCCGCCACGGGGCCGGTCCTGTGAACTTGATCTTTTTAATGTATTTTCAAACTGGGACCTTTATGTGTTGAGGGAGAAAAAGAGTTTAGATTGATGGGTCTAACTGCACCCGACAAGACCGTGTTTTCTGTTTGTGGTGACGGCATGCAGAAAGGATGGTTGGAAATGGACAGGAAACGACATCCCATCCCTCTTCCGACCTCTGCACTGAGTTCTTTCAAAGTCTTAAATCCAATGAGGACAATTACAGAAAAGGCGATGGGAACACTTCATGTGACAAAATCCAGTTTCCCCATAGGATTAAATAAAGCGCACGGCAATTCTTGAGAGCCTTTCTTCATCTAGTGGCCTTTGCTTTATTTGGCCTTTTTATTCCAGTCTGAAATGAGACACTGAAAAGTGAAGTTTCATCACGCTTGACTAATCGCTTAATTTAGCTGCTGGGTTGGCTTAAAGCTGCGAACTTCTTACTCAAGGTATATTTTCATTTACGTTTATCTTTTTCAGTAACCTTTTTTAATTGTAGTCAATTAGACTAAATGGTTTCAAATATATAGTAAAATATATTGACATTGAAAAAAAAAATCTCTAGGTCCAGCACACCCAATACCAGACGTTCTGCAGATCATGTGCCCCCAGTAGCCTTGCCTGGCATGAACCTGGCTGTGGTTTGCAGATACGGATTGTGGGATTATGCTGTTTACTCCCCTCTAAACAGGCCCTTACATTAATTTCAAGGCGGGGGGCTCAGGGTGGCAATACTTTTTGTATATTTATAAGAGCAGACGAGGAGCTAGTATTTAAATTTATTGCTGGATTTCCCCGTGCAAGTGTATCTCAGGTTGGAAAAACCTGCCGACAATTCAGATTCTGAGCAACAGATAGAATGACTGCCCCATAGAAGACTCTCCTCTGTACGGAGACGTGGGTGGTGAACATGGAACACGAGCCACCAGGGCTTTTTCTCTCTTCCCACTCCCATTCCTATTCACCGGGGCTTCTGAAACATACCCCTTCTTCCCGGAAAGAGGGCAGTTCCCGCAGAGGCACGGTGACCCTGGGAGACCCTAGCCCAGGGCACTAGACATCTCAGAATCAGGCCTCTTCCCCTTCTTTGCATTAAATGGAATGACGCCTGGCCCCAGGCACACAGACCCCCCACCCTGGAAGAGGTAGGGGCTCTCTGGGTGGGACTTGTCTGTGGGGCTTACTAATTACAGCTGGCTTTAGTAACACACCGTCCATCCCAGACTCTCTTTCCACAAGTGGGCGCACACTTAGTGTGTCCCGCTGCAGCTCCCGGCATGCTGAGATCCGTGGCTGCAGCGTCAGGCGCGATCACCTCTGGGATCTGTGGGGGCTGCCCACATGCAGCGTCCTCACTCCTCCACAGCGCCCCCGTCTGCCCCCACTGCAGCCCCCTCCCCAGTCAGGTGCAGAGGAACCTCTGACCTGGGCCCCAGCACGCAGAGAGGACCCAGGGTGTGGGGCACGGGAGCAAAGGCTTTCACACCACGTGGCCTGTTGGCAATCCCAGGGATGGACCGGCGCGATCAGGTTTACGTCCCGTTTGTGAAAACAAGTCCTGTGTAAACGGAATCCCTTTTCAGCTGAGGCTTAGAGGCACCAGATTACTGCCGAAGGCAGGAAAAGAGGAGGTTCAGGTGCCCCAGGTTCAAGGGCTCCCAAAGAAGACTCTGCTCAGGTCTCCTGTTTTAACCCCCATCAGGAGGGCAGTTTGGTCAGTGTCTAAAGAAGCCACTCCCTGGGGACAACAGCGCCAGACCCCAAGGGCATCAGTACAGAGCGCTCAGTAGGAGGGCACCTGGGCGTTTCTGAGTCCACCCGACCCTCAAGACCCCACTGAAGACACACTACCTCTTTCTGGAAACTGAAAATGGACCAACATGTTCCACAGAAGAAGGTAGGTTCCTGGAGTGTTCTCCGTAGTAAGTGACTCATGTACCATGACCATCAGCCACCTGGCAACTGCCGTCACGTGCAGGCAGACGGAATCCCCAACGCATGTGTGAGGCCGGACCATGCTAGGCAGCACTGATGGAAGGCAGTGTGGGAGAGGCTGTCCTCTGCAGGGGTGGAGCAGCTCTGCCCGCACTGCCCGGGAACCACACGGAACGGGGCTCGGTGTCGGGGGGACAGGCAGAGACGAAGGTGTGAAGGGTCCCCGGCCTGGGGGAGATTGGGGCGGGCAGCAGGAGCGGAGAGGCGCTCAGGGCTAAACGCGCTGACGGCAGGCGGGACATGGCAGGTCCTGGACGCTGGGATCTCAGGTCAACGTCCTGCAAAGGCCACTCGGCAGAGGACAAACTCCATAAACCGTGCATGACAGTGCTTGATTTATTAGCATGAAAAGAACAGTTCTTATATACAAAACAAGCTGATTTTTGTTTTCGAGTGTTAAAAGCACTCCTTAAAAATTAAATAAAATTTAAAGCATGGATTACATGAATTATTTTTCCTGGAAGCACTTACGTGAACGAATATTCGACGACGGAGATATCAAACACACATCATGCAGCCACGGGATGGTCCCAGAGTCCACAGGGCCCCCAGCGCAGTGCCCAACCCAGCCGACGCTGCCCGTGGGTGCCGCCGCACATCTGCGTTTGGGTACCAAACTGAAATGCCACTAAAACCCAGGGGTGCACCATGTGTGGAAAATTCACTTGCACGTTAGAATACCAACTAAATTCAGCTGCAAAGAAACCTTGCTCCAGGTCCATGGCAGCTAAATCGGAACGGTGAGTCGTAAAACCGGACAACCGATGAAAGTGTGCTAGACAGTCACACGTAAACGTTGTGACCGGTCAGCGCCCAGCCCCCAAGATACAGCTGTCCCTGTTGTCTCTACAGCAGCCTCAGAGCAGAAGGCACAGGGTGCTATGCTTTTCCCTGTTCTGTGCTCACACCCCGAGGAGGGTGCTGGGAAAGGATGCGGGTCGGGTGGCCCTGCCTGCAAACAGGCCCAAGTGTGGGAAACGGTCCTTCTCGTCCTGCACGGGGAGGCAGGCCCTCAGACAGCCGGCCACAGCGTCTGCTTGGCCGCTGCAGCACGCCCCTGACTAGGCTCCGTCCCTGGAGGGTAGCGGGCTCTGCACGCCATCAGTGCTCAAGGGGCCTGGGCACCAAAACTCGTAAAGCCACTCTGCTCATTCGATTTTAGAACTGTGACTAAAAATGAGGAACAGCAGCTCCCACAGAAAAAGAGGTTTATTGAGCCGTTAGAATGATGTAGTGACTGAACAGGACTGGACATTAGACGATACGGGCTGCGGGTGTGGCCTGGAGTGACCTGCTGCTGGGACCTCCCTTGGGGTTTCTGCAGGCAGCAGGGAACGGCCAGTGTGCTCGCTGGCCATCGTGCTTTTCGACGTTTCCCAGTTGAAGGCTGTGACCGCAGTGTTCAGGAGACACACTCTGCCCTCTTGGGACCAGGGGGTCCTTTATATAAGAAGTGCGACCAGGAACTTCCCAGCAGAGACCCTGGGGGGCATTTTGGTGATTCTGGGGGGAGGGGGGCCGGGGGGCGTGTCAATTGCTGCCTTCCTCCTGCTGGAACCACAGGCACCACTGGACACTTCCACCAGCGCTCCACCCGGAGTCTCAGTCTCAGAATCACCTCAAACCGGTCAGAACCAGTGCTGCTAACCTAAGACTCGTACGGAGACCACGGGGAACTGCAGTTAGGAACGCCCTACAAAAACGAACAACTCTATTTTCCAAAAATATTTTTTACAGCACTTTAAATAATTTACAAAAAAAGCTACAAAAATCATATTACCAGGACACATCTGTTAAATAAAAACATCGTTTCGTGTTAGTGTACACATATACAGGGCTATGTATAGCGGCTTCCAGTTTGCTCTCCTGTGCTCACAGGCCTTGTCTGCACCCACACAGATACACGCACATGTATACGCTTTCCACCAACTCACTGAGAACCAGGAAGTGTACTCACAGCTTGAGGACTTTGCCCTGTGCCAGCGGGCCACTGCCCTCCTCCACGGAGGTGTCACTGAATTCACTGGCGTCACTGCCCAAGGCCTCCGGGTCTTCCTCCTCCCTGTCCGCCACCCTCCGTCTATACCGCAGGTCTAGAAGGTTCTCTTCTGGACCCGAGTTCCTCCTGTCCTGCAAACTGAGCCCCGCCTGGGACTTCCTACTCGGCCAGTATCCACCTTCCTTCTTCATGAGCAAGTGCGGGCCTCCAAACACCGGGCCGTGGCCGGCCTGGGTCTCCCGGAAGGCCGAGAAGGAGGGGCCCTGCAGAGGCAGACTCAGGGGGGCACTGAAGAGGCTGGCCGGCTTGCCCCCCCAGGAGACACTCTTTCCAAAGTGAAATAACTGCGTGGAGAGCAGCGGAGAGAAGCCTGCAAAGGGCAGGGCTTTCTTGGGGTCCACGGCGAGGCTGGGCGAGCTCTGGCCCTGCGGCCCCCCCTCCCTCTCGCTCCCGAGGCCCCCTTTCCACGCTGCCTCTCTGCCTTCCGGGCTCAGCGCCCATGTGCTCTGCAGCTGACTCTGGTGGGCGAAGTCACTCCACGGGAGGGCGAGGCTGGTGGGGGGTCCCCCTTCCCTCTTGGCTCCCAGGTTCCGAGTCAGTGAGCCCTGGCTCCGAGGGGTCCCGGGAAAAGCACCAGCAGGGCTCTCGGCCCAGGTGCCAGCTTCTGCCCCACTCGGCAGCTGCCCGAAAGCACTGTCCCCAGCGGCGGGCTCGGCTCCTCGAGGGCTCTGGTCTTTGTGAGCATAAGCGTTTCTCCTACCAGCTGGTGACCCTCTGGCTGATACAGTCCCACTGGCGTTCCTGGGCACTGCCAGCTCCCCTCTGGCCAGGGCTGCAGGGAGGCCGGCCTGCTCGGCGCGGGGGCTGCTCCTCCCGCCGGGGATGAAGGCTCTCCCGGCGCCCCGCAGTCCCGCGGGCGGCTGGGAGGCCCCCCCGCCCCTCTGGCTCCGCGTGCATATGCCGGGCTGCAGGGCCAGGGCAGGTGGCGGCCCCTTTCGGCACAGCGGCTCTGGCCCGGGCCCGTTCCCCGTCCCCAGAGCCATGGGGTCCCCTCCTGGAATTTCTGACCCGCTCACGGCCTCCTTGGCCTTTTCTGCCAAAAACTTCCGAATCTCCAGTTCGATGCTGTCGTCGCTGTCCACGGAACTGCTGTCGTCCGAGAGGGAACCGGGGCTGGGGGCTGAGCCTTGAAATTCCCGGGCTTCCGTTCCCCTGGAGAACAAAGTCCCTTCCGAGGCCCTTCTCCTTAACCAGAGGGCTGGGGGCACCTCCCTGGGCCCGGCGCCGTCTGCCTTTGTTCCCTCTGTTTCTCTGCAGAAGACGCTCACGGGTTTTCTCCCCGGGTTCTCCCTGCCATCTTTTCTGGGCTTTGAGAGGCAGCTTTTCAACAAGTGCGGGCTCTTGTCTTTCCAGTCTTTCTGGAAGCAGCCCAGTTTACCCAAGAACTGCGTCTCGGTGGTGCTGAACCTGACCCTCTTCTTGCACGCAGCTCGGGGCTCCTTACTCCGCCTTCTGAGGTTTCGCTTGGACCGTAACAGGTCCTTAATGGCGGTGTCCAGGTCCTCGTCGCTGTCCAGCGAGCTGCTCTTGTCGTCGGAGCTCTCCTTCTCGTCTCCGCGCCTCGCCTCAGCTGCCTTCCCGTGGCCTGGCGACGCGCCGCCTCTCGCATCCGGGGCCACGAGCTCGTCACCCAGCTCGACAGTCCTGCAGGGCAGAGGCTGGCCCCTGCTCTCGCCTTCCCTTCCAGGGGCCTCGCTGCCTTTTTCCTGGCCGGGCTGTGTTTTCCGCTGGCTGTGCTCAGCGTCCTGGGCGCCCTCCTTCGCCGTCTCCCTCATTTTCTTGGGCGCGCACGGCCGCGCAGCGCTGCTGCCCCCTCTGCGTTTTCTTCTGCAGCCCAGCGATAAGTCCAGCGTTTTAGAGACAGAAGCCTTGAGGCCACCAGCCTGGCCGTGGGGGCCAGGCGACGGCAGTGGGCACTGTGCGGACTGCGGGCAGGTTTCCGTTCTGGCCGGCAGACTCCCCGACTGAGCCTTCAGAGCCAGAAACGTCCGGATTTCCTGCTCTATGCTGTCATCACTGTCCACGGAGCTGCTGTCGCCGTCGGAGTGGGAAGGCACGTTCAGGGGATGGAAGAACGGGCTGGCGGACAGGGGTCTGTCACTGCCCTCCTCGGGGGCCGGCAGGATCGTTTTGGAAATGTCCAGGATGGCTTCAGCGCACATCAGCTCGGCAGACGTGTCTGCCCGGCACGAAGACCGGTCCGCAGACTCGCTTTTGGCAGCTGTGTTTACTGGGGGTGCAGCTTTGGTTTCCTTCAGTGGCTTGGAGGGATGGTCAGGGTTAAGGCCACCTGGGCTGAGGTCCATGGCCTTTGTGGCCGCCGGCCTCTTCTTGCTCGGTGTTCTCCTGTGGGTTTCAGGCAAGGCACTTTTCATGGAGGGGCTTGTGCTGTGTGCAGGGGGGTCAGGCCCCTTCTCCTCTCCAGGCGGGGTTTTCCGCAGCGGGTCCCCACTTGCCTCCTTTCTCTTCTCCAGCTGGTACAGCTGGATGGCCTCCTCGATGCCGTCGTCGCTGCTGGAGTCGGACGCCTCACGCACCAGGGCTGCGCTCCTGACTCGCCTTCCCCCCCTCCTGAGGCCGACGCTCCTCTTGGCCCCTTTACTCTGGACTGCTTCTGCAGGGCGGCAGGCGGCGGCGGGCTTGGGGGCTGCTGGCTTTGTGCCGCCCAAGCCCTCCGGCTCAGTGGTGACCTGAGACCTGAGGCCCCTGGGCTGTGCGCTCACCTTTGTTAACCTGGGAGGTTTCCGGAAGACAAACTCCTTACAAGCTCCCGTCAGATCCTGCTGATGATGTGGCTCTTTGCTGGATCTGAATGACAATTTCGCCAAATTGCCGTTGGGGTCTGTTTTTTTATCTGCAGGAACATCGCATTTTTGGGTCTCGTGTTGTCTTTTCTCACTCAGAAACTGTTCTATTTCTGCCCGGATACTCTGTTCGAAGGAGTCGTCGCTGCTCACACTAACCGGGGAGGCGGAGCCCTGGTCCTCGCTGGTTCCCCCGTGGCTGCCAGGGACACCTCCGGAGCCCGGTGCAGGTTTTAGGGGACACAGGGGAGTCGGGGCGCTGCTCTGAGGCTCTGGTCTGCACCGACTGTCCCCATCTGTGGCTCCGGGTGGCTGGGCGGCCCCGCTCTTGGCCCTTAGGTACTCCTGGATGGCTTCTTCAATGTCTCGGTCCACGGAATCATCACTATCTGAATCCAGCACCAAGGGGCCAAAGTCTGTGGCTCCCTTCTCCCCCTTGGAGTCAAAATCAGCAGCAAGTCCACAGGCTGCAAATGTGGGGCTGGCGGCCAGCCTGGTGTCGCGGCCTCTCTCTGCCCTCTGGCTTCTCTGCAGGGCGTGCTCATCGCTCATGCCCAGAGCAGCCTCGTCGCTCTGCAGCGTGCTGATGAGCATCTGCACCTTGGCGCTCACCGAAGCTCTCGCCACACCCTCTTTCGGCTCTGAGAAGCACCCGGGGAACCTAAAGCCCCCCGGCGGGCCAAAGGCCTCCCATTGCGACTGGAGAGCCACCACAGGAGGGGCGTTCATGAGAAACATTCTAGCCGCCGGGGAGGGCCGTGCAGAGGCAAGTCTATTTTCCTGCCCCTTTCACATCCTGGGAGGAGAGCTAGCACACTGGTGCGATGTCACCGTCAGCGGCGCATGCGGCCCCGGAGAAACAGCAGGCCTCTTAGAGTCCGGCTAGCTGGGGGCCCTTGGGCCGGTTACCCATGCTTCTTGGCCTCAGTGTTCTCAGCTGCCACGAAGATTCAATAAGAAAATGCTTCTGAGCCACCTTGCAGCATGCTCACGTAGAAGCACACACAAATGTCACTTCCCTGCCCCTCTTCTTACCCTGGGCCTCCATCTTCTCTCTAAGAGAATAGGGGTTTTATTGACCCCAAAAGGTCCTCAAGAGAGGCCAATGAAATAAAGTCTGCAAATGCTTCTTTGTGGGTTAAAAAGAAATGATTACCATGAATCCAGGCCTGGTGACACTTTTCGGGCTGGTTCATTCTTGACGTGAACAAGCTCCTGAAATAAAGTTACATGATGTGAGCAATTCAAAAATTATTTCCCCAAACATCTTTAAAGAGTCAGTTACACTAAAGCCTTTTGATTGAAAAACATCACGTGTGTATTTGCCACATGGTCTCATGGGACCATATCATTGTTTTTAGCTAATTACCCTAAAAGTTGCCCCAAACACAGTCATGCGCCCTTTTTCATCCTGTGTGGTTACTCCACAGTTTCCGTATCTCAGACCAAATGTGGCTGCGTCAGCAGAGCCACTGGGCCTGTCCTGGGAACACTCTCAACACCTGCTCGCAAACAGCCTCCACACTAAAGGTCTGGGGACCACCGCTGCAGAGAGGACTATGACGCATACTGCAGTCAATCAGAAAAATACAATACATCACATAACTTAATTCTTAACATGTTTCTCGGGCCCCCCGGCCGCCCCCAAATTGGAATTGCAAAGCAGCTGAGATGCAAGAGGAGAGCCCTGTGCCATTGATGGAGACAGGGAAATTGAGTTCCACCCCCAAAATGGGGCCAGGCAAGGCCGTCACCATGCTTGGAACCTCAGTGGGTGGGCTGGAAATACACTGGCCTGTGTATTTGCTTTGCTTCCAACTCAGATCCTTCTCTACCAGGAGCTTCCCGTCTTAACCCGGAGCTTCCTTCCTGACAAGCACGTAATCTTGCATTTACACACCAGAGTTCTTTCCAAGAAAGCACGGCCTGGCCACCTAGGCACAGGCATGCCCAAACAGGTGCGGCCAGCTATTAACCAGAGGGCGCGATAAAGTCAGAAGCAAGTCATTGGCTGTTAGTGATTTGTGCTCAAAAAGTGAAACTAAAATGTCAAAGACTTTATTGCAATTACTTGAAATTCTCTTCCAGTCCAGTTTCAGTGTGATGACTCAGCAATCAATGTTTGCAAAACGTTTCAGAGTTTAGGTCTTCATCGCTCCACTTATACTCCGTAGCATCCTTTGCCCACTTTTTAAGTAGACTTTTGACTGCCAGGACTAAAGAGAATCAGAGACACCTAATTCAGAGGCTGAAGCTACAGCTAGTCAATCTTTTTTGGGAAAGAAACAGCATCAATTTAAGGGCTCACAATGAAATTTTGTAAGAACTTACCCTGAGACCAAATACCATTAATCACAGCTAATTTACAACTATCCTGGGCCACAGCTCTGATACGGCAGGATTGGGCTGGGGGGAGAATGTGAGGCTATTTACCAGTCCTCAGAGTCTGGCATCCTACTACAGCTCATAATCTCCCCCATAAAACCACCCTTCAGGGAGATGCCCCCACTGTGGCAGAGCAAGGGGGACCGACAAAGGTGGTGGGGGCTCCTTCACTGGAGAGGGGGCCGTGCCCACGCTGCCGTGGTCATTATTCAAGCTGCTTTGGCAAAATTACAGAGATTACGAGATGTTTGCATTGGCCTTGGGCTGTGGAGAGTCTAAATCACGACTATGAACTTCCTAAACAGCAAAACTATCTTAAAAAATGGGCCCAGGGATAAACCCAAAGGCACTGGGTGGCAGTGATTCCTCCACTAGGTAGCAGAGCTGGGGGAAGGGAAACACTGAACTCCACTAACCGTGTTCACTGCTTTGCAATGATGGTAAACCGAGCTTGGACTCCTAGCGAACGGTATTCTGAACTGTCAAATTACCTAGTGTCAGAACGAGGTTACAAATTCAGAGGGCGTCTCCAGCGACAGCTTGTAGCTTTAAAACAATCAACTACATGAGATGAATCATTCTCGAAAACACCCCTAAACTGTACGTGGACTGAGCTGTGAGCTGCAGCCAGGGGCTCCTGCTTTGTCAAATTGTGCCCTGCGCCCCGAGAGCCCAAGACTCGGGTCTGGAGGGTGGCTGTGAGGACACCAACCCTGTACCAAAGCCACATGGTGCCAGAATTTAAAAAGCAGAGGACACCTGGACATCATCTCTGTCTAGACACCAAGCTCCAGGGAGGACAAAACCATATCATCTTAACAGCCTGGCTCCCTGCACAAAATGCCCCCCAATACATTCCTAGGCTCACCAAAAATCGGTTCAGCTCGTGTTCTTACCTCCCAGAACGGGGCTCTCCCCCAGGCTTAGGCAGGCCAGGGTCGGGGTACAAGGGAGAAGCAGCCCGGCCCTCCGGGCAGCGGTAGGGCCCTCTCGGGCCAACCTGAAGCGGGCGTGGGCTAGATTTCCGTCTGTCGCAGCGACGTCTCCCCCAGGCAAAGCTGCAGTGCCACTGCGTGTGCCTGGGGGACTGGAGGCAAGGCGAGCCCCTCGCAGCTGACCTTGTCCTGACCTTTCACCCCTGAGCACAGGCTGCTCCCTGCCCGGGGGCGCTCACCCCCAGCGCTGCCCTGCCAGGGACTTGTCCTCAGCCAGGTAACCGCGAGCACCTCCCGCAGGGAAGGGGTCCGGTCTCCACGCAGGTCTGCGCCCCGGGGGTTACTTTTCTGGGGTCCGTGGGCTTCGGGGCTGCGGCCGGCCGGGAGCTCCGCGACCCTCCCGGAAGCTGCGCCGGGGCAGGGCGTGCACCGCCTTCCCGCGGGGGCCCGGGCCCTCGGCGGCG